AGGACGTCAAAATTAGAAAGCGTTTAAGAAGCTGCCAATTCACTAAATTAGTTGCATTTTAACCAGCCTAACACTGAAGCGTTGAAATGAACACTTTTGGGGTTATTTTTAACTGATAGTGACACGGAAAAGCCCCAAAAGAGTGTCCTGGTGACTGGACATTTCCGCTCTTTTCCACGCATATTATCCATTCTTTTTTCCTTAAAATGACCTCATATTTGCAGCTTCCTCTTATCTAGACCAACAGCAAAAGTACAGGTATTTATACAGCAGATTGCCCAACTCATGAAGTGTGAACATACAAATTTGAGCGGGGGGGGGGAAGTTAACACACATTGAGGTTGTTTATTTTGTTCATTGAAGCGCCTTCAGGTGCAGACTACTGTTCACCAAGAAAACAAAGATCAGTTCACATCAGGGTATTGGAGGAAAAAATTAGGCAAACGTCGGTCAAATCCAACGTCTGTCGATATTCAAGAATTTTTCTGCGCAATTAAACGCTGCGGAAAAAACGTCTTGTTTGTGCGTGTTTTACTTTAAAAGAACATTAATATAAGCCGGAAATATTTTAACTATATAATTTTAGAGAACGGAAAGTTTTGTTTTTCTTTCACGAAAATCAGGTAAATGCCAGTATGAGAAATCGCGTTGTTTTCAAGAAAAAGTGAGAGTGGATCCAGTTGCAAATATTCTGTTTTGCAGCCACTCCTTGACATCCTAAAGGATCCCTTTACTCACAACGGCGCCCATAGGCGCAAAATTTATACTTTATTTTTATAGGATAGTGCTCCATTTCACCGCCCAGAATTTGGCCACATATAATGTTACTTTATTGACGACAGCCAGCCTCCCCGCATGTGGCCTCCAAACAACTTTTATTTCTGCCAACAGCCCGGATCTTAATTCTAGAGGAAATCATTTGCAATTGTCAAAAGGGAGTGGAACCAGACGAAGAATAATATTTCCCCGGCAAAAAAAACTGGATTTTGTGCCACATAGTCAAATTGAATAAACCACTAATACAAATGAACATGCGAGTCCCAGGAAGTAATTACGGAGAAGACGACTCGATCGCTGCGACAATACTTTTATTCGCCTGAGGTTTCGAAATCCGTCGCGGATTCATCATCAGAGACGTTAACAGAAAACAGTAGCAGAAACGGATAATAGATGCACAGGGGTTTGCAGTATTTATAGGACACAGTCATTACTGCAAACCTGCAACAACAGTTAGCGTTAATTGCCTTCTTGTGCTTGGATAGTTTGCTAGTCGGCATGCGGGCTCTGACCTGTTGAACTTTCATCATGCGTGGTGGACTGCGGCGTGGTGATTACCCGGCCATTTGGCCCCCTAGTGTTTGCGTAGGATGACGTGATGGCCTGTCTGTTCCCCAAGTGGCAACTTACTTTGACCAAATTGAGTCTCAGCAGCGAATATGGATTTGGCAAGTCGTTGCACTTGTTGATGGATTGGGGGCCCGTGAACCATGATCCAAGTACTTCTTGGCTCACTCGATGGTCACCTTTTACGAGAATTTCGGCCTCATCAAATAATAATGTGTGGCCAGATCTCGTCGAATGAGCCGCAGCTTGAGAATTGGCATCATTTCGCCATACTGCTGCCGCGTATTAGACAATTCACGTCTTGATAGGTCTACCAAGTTCTCCGATATAGTTGCTTTGCCCGCAAATGCACCAGATCCTATAGACGACTTCAGATGTTTCTTGCCGTGGCATTGGGTCTTTCGGTTTCACTAGCTGATGCCTTATGGTTGCTCTCGGTCTGTGTGTGACTCCAATTCCACGTGCTGCGAGAAGGCGACCAACAGTCTCCGCGACGTTGCTGACGTACGGGATCGCTCGCCAAATTTCGGGGTTGGTACGATTTTGTTGGCTATCTCGTTAGCGCAAGCACCGGTTGACCATGTTGCGTGGGTAACCATTTTCCCTGAGTAACCGTCGAAGGTATTGCACCTCGGCAGCTGTATCTTTTGGTTTACTGCAGTGCGTCTCAACGCGCCGGTAGACCCTCCTTACGCAACTGCTTTTGTGGCTGATTGGGTGGTTGCTGTTGTAATTCAGTATATACATCTTGTGTGTAGCTTTCCTGAATACTTTAGTCTTTAGGCCTTCCACGCCTTATATTATCGACTGATTCATAACCACTGGGATACGTCCTATTGTCTATTACCTGGCCGGACTACTTCATATCCGTCGCCCGCAAGCCCGCATCCTCACGGCGCGCATCCTTATGTTGAGTAAAGGCTGCCCTACCCACAGAACAATTAAGTAACGTTATTTACCGCATACCCTGCGCCAGCTGTCCTTGTGTTTGTATTGGCCACACAGGCCGACATCTCGAGACTCGCATCGAGGAACATAACTTAGCTATTCACCGACGGGACCATTTATTACTCGTGTTTGCGCACTCCCTTGATTGTGTTCACAGCTTCAATTGGGATGACACCGAGGTGATCGCCAAGGCTAACACGAGACAAACGGGAGAATTCCCCGAAGCTTGACACTCGCGCCCGGCCAATATCAACAGGCATGTAGATCATGATTCACACTTTTTCGGTTGGCGCGCATGGCCCACTAAACTGCGCCCAACCTGAAACAACAGCGGGCTGTCCGTGCTCGGTCAAGTAGAACTTCACTGATCCTGCATTACCCCAGACAGGTGGCCTACAGTCTAAACGGTAGCACCTCACCCCTCACCTGCAGAAACTGGAACGGGTAATTACCTTGTCAAATGCGGCCACGGAATTTTAGATGCCCTCTCGCCTTTTACTTCTATTCTCCAGTATGTGGCAGTTGAGGCTGCTGAATTGGCTCGGCAAAGCAAACACGAGTAAAAAATGAAAATTACCTCGGACACGCCCAATATCTCCAACCTCTGAAGTGCTATTTTAAGGCCGGCTAAACTTCCGGCAGAATATTTTATGATGAGGTGCATAAAGGAAACATCAACGGGCTTAGTAATACCTGGACGCTTATAAACAAGACAGTGTCGTAACGCATGAAATCAGTGCTCTTCCAACACCATAAACCGACGTTATGGCATCTTCACGTGGATATTATCTTTTTCGTCACCAAACACAGACAGGTGTTGAGGTACAAATAACAACAAAACGTCGTCTTTCCTGACATCGAATTTTGCGAGCGAAGAAGAAGGATGCCAACTACCAGTCTTCACTGATGCCGTCAGCCGTCAAAGATATTTTGAGGAAGTAAAAACTATGTTGTTCAGGGAAGTTCAGTACACCACCACGCAGTTGATGGATTTCAAAAGTGCTCTATGTAGCTGCCGAATAAGTATACAATCGATCAGTGTTCCGAACAAGTGGCTGCCCAGGGAATTTCGCCAATCGGCGCATGCGCAAACGATACGACAGACAAATTCACACGCTGGCTTCTCACTAAAGAAAGTAGATGATAGGGATGCTAGATGAGCGCACACTGATCGCTCCACGGGACGATGAGAAGAGGAGCTGGGATAGTCATTTCCGACTTACGTTACGGCCTTAAATTCGTTTAACATGCTGACACCTGCGAAAGATTGATACCCTTTCGCTAAGCGGCATTGAGTAAGATTGTAAGACTGGTAGGCATTTAGTCTATTCTGAAGTTATTTCAGTCACGATAGGATACCGGCTTTTTAACGGGCAGCGTTTTGACCATTAAAAACATATATACTGGAAAAAGTCCTACTTAATTAGTATGTATTTTTATCATTGATTTTGATTGCTATTATAAATTCAAATATATTTTATGGAAAACATAAAAAAGTTATTTCTTGTACTCGGTTGGTACGAAGACTCGCCTTCTTTAAATTTTATACTTTAAAAAAGGGTATCCTTCGGTTTTAAAAAAATTTCTAACTTACCGAATAATTTTGAAACCTACTGACTGCTACACTTGAATTGAATGTTTACAAACTGCAAGTCGCGTACATCCTGTTTAAGGAAAAGTACGCTTTCGCCTACGGTTTGAGGAAGAAGCCATATAGTTCTCATTAAATGTTGCAATAGAGGTGGAAATTGCTGTATATATTAGAGGCGGCATTAATAAATTGACGGATGTGACGTACAATGAATAAACACCTCAAAATTGTAAAAACGTCATAATTCCGAATTTTTGTAAATGCTAAAGATGCCCGTCTTTAAGTATAAAATTCAAATAAGGCGTAATTTCCTACCAAAAGAGTGCATGAAATAGTTTTTTTTTCATAAAATATATTTGCATTTATAAAGGCAGTCAAAATCAATGATAAAAAGTGCATACTACGTAATTACCCACTTTTTACAGTACATACGTTTTGTTAGCGGTCAGAATGAGACTGTGTAAAAAGCCGGCATCCTATCGTGACTGAAATGACTTCAGAATAGACAGCATAGTAATCAGTATTGCAATCTTACTCAATGCCGATTAGCGAGCGAGTATCAATCTTTCGAATATATCGGCATGTTACATGAATTCTAGGCCGTACCGTATCTATAAAACTTTTACATATATAATTGGGCGACCATTCGGATATGAGCACAGACAACGGCTGAATGAGTTTTTATTACAATTACAAGCCAAATGTGCGGTCGCCGCGATAAGTAACCATGGGGCGGCAGGTTCAAAGTGGGGCAGAAGCAAGGTGCGCCAAGATGGTGTGGCGTGTGTTAGCTGAAAAGACGCAGACGAAGGCTACAGTGCAATCATTACTCATACGCGTCCGGAAGTCTTAGCGACCAAAGGAAACACAAAAAGAGACACTGAAGTGGGCAGTTCCGGTTTCTTTTGGTGGGCAAAACCCAACTGCAGACCGGGTCTACCGGCCGGGTATAGAACGAGGGTGTGGAGTTGGTAATGGAGCAAGCAGTCAACTACCGACTGGCGCTCTGTCGACTGATAAAAAGGAGTATGCAGTGTTAGGAGCAGCCAGCTAGCAGGCAACTAGCATGCAGGCAGCAAGCCGCGCTCATGGCAGGCTATCGATCGGCCTACACGCAGCGAACGCAGACTGGCAATCAATCAGTCAATAATTTAAAATTCAAAGCTGCGACCAGGCTAAGACTCTGATCATCCAACCGCTGATCCACAAGCCAATCGTGTCACTATACGCGCCAGAACAATATCTTATTGACCCGATGGACACAGCTTTTCACGCATTTGTTACCTTAAATATGTTATACGCACTACGCTAAAACACTTCATCCTTTGCGTTTTCCTTGTCATGTTCTTCCTTAGGGACTCACACAAAGACCTAATTAGGCAGTGACTCCTCGGTTTTGGCTACATTTACAACATGCAGGCTATGAAAAAACTATACGAACGTCTCTCCCACTGAAATACTGGGGTTTTTGCGCTATATTCCAGGAAGATTTCCCATCTCCCCCCCAGTCCTAACTCTAACTCTGACCCAATCTCTGGCCTTGGAGACCATGTAGCAAAACTGTTATTAATCTTCCATTCGTCGAGACTCAAAATCAGTACGTCGTATTGCGCATTTGAATCCCTTACGATTAAGGCTGTTCAAATTGAGATTCACAATATTTTCATATTCGATGAGCTTTTTTATTAACTGTTAACCGAAACTTTGAAATGTGGTTTCCCCTCGAAAAGCTTACTCAATTAGGCTTGCCATATTTATTATCGTCCAAAATACGCCCCCAAGATATTTCAGCTTAGCAACTTCTCTAGATCTTTGTTTTCGAACCTGATGCAGATCAGTACATTCAAGGTAGATAGGCATAGACAACATTTGATGTGGATATTTGGACCGCATATTATGCAGTTATCCCACAGAGTGGTCTATGTCTGTAGAATTTAAATACACTGATCCGCACAAAGTACGAAAAATGATTTTTAAGGAAATTAAAAAGCTGAAATTTCAAAACTTGGGTTTGGACTAAAAAACACTCAGGGGAAGCTTGGGGCCCCTTAATGAACCGGACCCCTCACAGCTAGTTAAAGCAGCGGCAGAATACCGGCGAAAGACGCGTCCGTGATTTAACCTAGTATCTGTCCTGCCAGTATGATAAATAATTCCCTTAATCCTAAGAAATTTCTGTCACGTAAGCATGCTGACTTGCAAATGCATTTCCTAACAGTCGCCTGCAGAATGCATACTCTTTAAACAATGACAACTTGAATAGCACTATTTTTTCTATTGATTTTCAATATGTAAATAAATTCAAACATGGACAAAAATGTTTTTCCTGCATTCATTTGGTATAAAATTACGTCTTTTAGACTTTAAGGAAGAATATCTTTCAATTTGACAAAAAAGAATGTTTCCAATTCGCAGTTTTACTGCATGCATTCACTTTACGTAAAATCGCAAGTTTCTCCACATTACAAGAAAGGTGACATATAGTGCGCAGGAAGTTTTAAAATGGATGGGTTCCATGTCGTTGAATTTGTAAGAAATAGTAAGACAGTCACGGATACTTTGTTTTATGTTTGGACATTTCGCCATTTCCATAATAAGGAACTTTTCTTAAAACCGAAGGATATCCCCTCTTCTGCTGCAAGTTTTACAAAAGACGTTTTCTGCTACAGAATGAATAAAAGAAGGAATACTTTCGTGCATATTTCTGTTGAATAAATTGTACTCCATGAGAGCATCGAAAACCAATGAAAAAATGCATGTTCTTTAAGTAGTCATTTTTTTATAAAAGGATAATGTGTACATGCCGTAGGAACAAATTTTGTTCAAAAGCCGACCTCGCGATGTGATTTAAATATCCCAACCGTATGTTGCATGCCAGTTAGTACTGTAACTCTACTTAAATAAGGTTTTCGTATCAAAAACACATTTGAAAATCTCATTAGATAGCACACGTACTGTAAGGCAGCAAGGCCTACTGCAGATACTGGATAAGGAAAACCCTGTGAGTAATTGCAAGCATGAGTTTAGCTGGGGTGTTAATTCGTGCCATCGATTACGCTTCTGCAAAGGGTCCCGTTGGATGAGTGCAATATGTACAGTTTGACGAGTGCTGCATATAAACGTCAAGACGAAAATTAACTTGGTAGTGCAGCATATATTTGCTCAAGTTGTGTTGATCCTCTGATCAGATTTAATCCTGCGAAAGCCATTTAGTTAGGAAAATCACCCTTTTATTTCAGGGTAATGTTCATTTATTTTGGCAAAATTGGGAGTCGTCTCATATCGGAGGAATTTTCTATACTATTAAGTACGACAGAACTAAGCATTTTATTAATATGCATTATTATATCGAAGAATTCCAAAATAATTTTCAAAAAAGGTGTCTGAAATTGCTCAGATGCAAGTGAGGCCAAGTTCAGAGAGAAGGAACGATTTATGTTTCAAAAATTATGTTTGGCTAACCTTTGAGGTTTTGTTCCACAAAATGCAGTAACAAAAAGTTTTGGTCGCATTGTTTTAACGCACCGCCTAGATGGCGAATAACCAAAGTGTCCATATATGTTACTGTTAAAGTAATGTAAAACTGGCGATATTAAAAGTAAGTCATTTAGATATATACATTTTTGTAAACCATACGTTCCGCTAACGTGTTATTTAGAAACGGAACAGACAGAAGAA